TAGCAAGTGCTTTATTTTTGGGGTCATTAATTCAGACTGACTAAAGGTACAATGTAATAATTTAATAAAATTAATTGTCTAATATCTGGTCCTGGGCAAAATTCCACACCACTGGGAATGATCTGTGCCCTGTACAGTTCATACCTATCCAACTTCATAAATAATGTTGTTGTGTTTTACTAGTGTTCAGATGTTCTGTCATGTTTATGTACAGAACAAGCAATACAAGGTATTTGTTGCTTATCTTGTAGTTGGCCAGCAAATGCAACAACCGTGCTAAAAAGCAGAGTGGGCACATTTCAGGTTCCACAGTTCCAGAGATATTCCCTATTTTTAAAATGGGGAATTCTGTTAGAACCAGTAGAATCTTTCTAACTGGTGGAAGTTTTTAAGGGCACCCAATGTATGCTGTTTATGCTGCTTTTAGGGATTTGTCATTTATATTTTTCAGTACAACACTTTCACATTAAAAGGTGGAGAATTTTACCCCCTCCCGCTCCCAGCCCCATCCCCCCACACAAAAGAAGTCCTTCAGAATCACAGTCCTATATGCAAACTACAACTTGACAAGAAATGTATTACATAGCAAGGAGTTAGAGGTTGATCCAATATAAACGCAAGATTTTAGGAGTGTATCTTGCAACTAGCATTGCATGCCCTACTACCATGTATAGCGGGAGTGGGCAAACTTTTTGTTGCGAGGGCCACATCTGGGTAGGGAAATTGTATGGTGGCCCATAAATGCTCACAAAATTGGGGGTTGGGTGCGGGAGGGGGTGAGGTCTCCGGCTGGGGGTGCAGGCTCTGGGGTGGGATCAGAAATGAGGAGTTCAGAGTGTGGGAGGGGGCTCTGGGCTGGGGGTGCGACCGAGGGGTGCGGCGGGCGGGAGGGGGATCAGGGATGGGGCAAGGAGTTGGGGCGTGGGATGGGGTCAGGGGTGCAGGCTCCAGGCAGCGCTTACCTCAAGCAGCTCCCGGAAGCAGTGGCATGTCCCCCCCCCTCTGGTTCCTACACAGAGGTGCGGCCAGGCGGCTCTGCATGCTGCCCCATCCACAGGCGCTGCCCCTGCAGCTCCCATTGGCCCCATTTGCTGGCCAATTGGAGCTGCAGGGGCGGTGTTTAGGGTGGGGGCACCGTGCGGAGCACCCTGGCTGCCCCTATGCATAGGAGCCCGCTGCTTCCGGGAGCCATGTGGAGCAAGCCCCCGACCCCACTCCCTGGCAGGAACTCGAGGGCCAGATTAAAACGTCTGAAGGGCCGGATGCGGCCCCTGGGCCATAGTTTGCCCACCCCCGGTGTATAGAATACCCTGGAGTTTATTATTTACAATACCAAAATGCCTTCAATATTTGAATTAGGTCACTCTTCTAAATTCATAAATTGAAATATTTTTACCATACATAGTTATACATGAGATTGATATAAACTAATTTATTTACTAATAAAGCAGCAAAAGGCCATCCAGCTTCCTTTAAAATTATTTTAAACCAACTTTCCTACTGCCACTTAATCTCCTCTACCATTCTTTTGGCACACAAATCTAGCCATCTCTTGATTTTACTTATATTCATTGCTTCATTTGCTTTACTGTTTTTTTTGCTGTTTTTACTTAGTATGTTTTTACTTGGGTTTTTCCCAAGATCCTAACTCATCAATGTACTTAGTTTTCAGATGATCACTCATTAATGTGAAATAATAATAAATACTTAGGCACAAATTTTCCAACTTTTCTTCATCTTGATACTTATATAGCAACTCTCACCATGGTATCTAAAGCCTAAAGCTGACTCATTGATTCCAAAGGTTGCTACAGGTGCTCAGCAACTTTAAAAATTAGGCTATTTATTTAGTTGCTTAAATATGATTTAGGAGCCTAAAATGAAGGCACCCAGTTTTGGAAATCTTGGGTTTAAGATTTATGTAATGTTTTCCATCTGAAGTTCTTAAAGTGCTTTATGAAGGTGGGTAGATATCAGTATTCCCATTTAACAGAAAGAAAACTGAGGCAGAGAGAAGTTAAGTGACTTGCCCAAGGTCACACAACCGAATCAGTAGCAGACATGGGAATAGAAGCCAAGTTTCCTGACTCCCAGGTCCCTTATCAATCCTCCTCCTCTCTTACTTTATGTAGCACTTTTCATCCTGAAAAATCCAAAGAGATCTATCAATTTTATCATTCTTTTGAAAGTCACAATAAGATCACTGATGTCTATACTCTTCTAATGAGAGCACTGCCAAGCTAACAGGGCCCCTACTTTGTAATTAAAAGGCATTCCCTGGGGCTAGGTAAACTGCCTAACATTGTCCATACTGGAAAGAGTACTTTTCTCCATTTAATGAGGCTGCTGTTCTGAAGCGCTAGGGAGTCTCATATTGAAGATGCCATTGTGGTGGAGTTTTAGAGGGTGGGGTGGGAGGTTAGTCTGTGTGTCACGTAATGTGACTCCTTGCTTCCTTGGGGCTCAGGCTGTAGTGGGGCCTGAAGGGAGCAGGATTTAGATCACTGACTGACTGGTGAGAAGAAGTGGAGGAGAAGGATCTGAACACTGCCAAGTCCTCTAAGTGGTTTGCCCCTTAACATTCCTTCTCCCCATTGATTTCAGAGTGTTTGAATGGCATTCTTCGGTGCATCCCTTTATGGAACTGATATTAGGTTGACAGTTTGTGCACTGATTGTGGTTTGCCGGCTTCCTAACATGCGTGGGGTGATGCTGAGATTTATGGGATTGGAAGGCATTTCCCCGCCTCCCACTTCAAATCGGTTTCTCCTCTCCAACAGTTATAAGTACCATCAAAATAAAAGTCCATCTATGTCTTTTTCAACATCTCTTAACTGCCTCTTCTGATAGGTTCTCTGATTAGAAATCAGTTTTTCTGCCTTTGAGACATGGCTCAAGACAAGCCATCAGATATCTACAATCCCGTTCACAGTTATGTCACAATCATCACAAATCAAGCCTGCTCTCAAGAGGATATGTTTGTTAAGTACAAATATTTCTACACCTTTTGGGGCGGGTTGTAATTTAAGATGACTTTCACAAACTAGATACTAATCCTGAAGCAACAGATGGCTGTTACAAAATAGCACTGCAAACACTCTGAGTTGAGTCCTATCCTTAGTGAACTTCCTGCAGAGGAGGAGACAAGGGTGGACCTAGCAAAGTGTCCCACACACTGGGCTCTCATGGTGCAAAAAAGACATAAAGCGAGCTTAACCAGCCACCTGAGGATTTCCCCGGCACGTGCAATCCCCGGGTGACAGAGCTAACCTACCACCACCGCAGCATATGGGGTGGGTGGCTGGTATGCTGCCAAGCCCCACCGCTCGGTGACTGACATAACTTGTGCTGCTATCTTTGCACCCCTTCCCAGCCTCAGGTTTTGCACGGATCACAACTCAGCTGGACGCAAAGATTGGGCCTTTTATCTTTTATTTTTGTAGTAACAACAACTATACTATAAACAAAATCTAAGTTATAATGCAGCAGGCAATAAAAAAGGCATCTCGTCAAAGAAATCTAGTTTAAGAAAAGCTCTAGTGACCAGTGTCCATGGCAGGTTTAACCACAGATAAATTAGCAAACTTGAGGATCAGGGAGTTAGTTCAGCCTATAATGATCGTCACTCACACCAGATATGACATCATTATTTTTTTATACACTTCAAAAGAAGTTTTAGGTAGGAATTTAAAATGGTTATTTACTTGATTTTATGAATTACTTAGGGGATAGATGAATAGTTTATCAGGAATAAGTGTGCTAAAGTATCCGATAACTCATTTACTGTTTGACAGAGCCCTTTCTACTCATGTCACAAATTACATTAAGCAAAATGGACATCAACAGGAAGATCAGAACACAAAATCTGAACAACAGAACTTCATGTCCAGGAGAGAAGATGAAATGCTGCTCACCAAATGAACTTTGGGAGTATTATGCTAAGCAAAAGGGGTTCTACTTTCTTTTAAAACAGGGAATAAAGTTTTTGGATCAAACTCTGTTTTTGGATGTGTGTGTCCAGTCCTCACTGAATTTGACCCTTTACATTTTTTGCTTTAGAAATTAGTTTTTTATTTCCTCTGCCACTGAAAGTCTGGATTTTCCGATACAGCTTTTTACATAACATGTCCTAGGGCAGTGGTTCTCAAACTTTGTTTTCGCAGAGCACTTGAAAATTGCTGAGAGTCTCGGTGGACCACTTAATGATCTTTCAAAATGTTGCTTGTACCGTTAGCTAACTATTGTAATAGTTGGATAAAAGCGCTATATAAAAAAAACCCCTTAATAATAATTAACGTTTTTTTGGTTCTACAAATAAAAGCACACAACTCATATTTTAATATCAGTAGTCTTACCTTTCTAATGCAATGGATGTGCCCTCTCTCCCCTGCCACAGCAACCCCTGAGCTGGGGCTGGGAAGGAGGGGGGGTCTCTCCCCCGTCAGAACAGGCACAGAGCTGAGGCTGGGAAGGAGGGCCGTCTCTCCCTGGCAGCCACAGCCCTGGAGCTGGGGAAAGTCGCCTCTTTCTCTGGCCGCCGCAGCCCTGCACAACCCAAATTCTCCCCACCCCCTCTTCTCACCCCACTGCCCCCTCCCACCTACCCCTATTTCCCCCAAGGCCACCACCTCACCTTACATGTGTCTCTTCTCCAGGGTCCAGGCACCTAATTAATAGCGCCATGCCTGCGCGGCTCCACTAATTAGGTGGGTGGCCCTTCATTCTCTCATGTGCGGCCGCCCAGGCACACACCTTAGAAGGAACTATCCGCGGACCACCTGAATGGAGCTCGCGGACCACTGGTGGTCCACGGACTACAGTTTGAGAACCTCTGTCCTAGGGCTCTCATGTTAGCTCCTGACTTGCTTTGCATCATGGAGCTTGACCATGTTATAACATACCAAGCCAACCTTCACCTTTCATGCTGTACCATACATGTCATCTTGAGACACACAACTAGGACGAAGGAGAATTTATTCACAGAAGGTAGGTTTACTTACATCTCTCCTTGGAAAGGTGCCCAGCAGCTTGAACTCTCCCCAAGGGTATCCCTTGGAAGCTACAAAATCAAAGACAACCTGCAGCTTACTGCTGGCCAGGAATCGCCGCTCAAAGAACTCTCCGCTGGGTGTTCGGATACGCAGTTTGCTGACGGACTCAGTGCTCTCTTTTTTTGGCTCTGGAGGCAAAGCCTGCTCTAGAGATAGCCTGATAGCCTGAGGAAAGAAAAAGGACCATTTAGCTTCAATTTAACTACTTAGGCACGGGAGTTTTTTTATTTTTCATGTTAGAACTCCGAGAAGAATCACACGGCTCCAGAACTTTAGCTGTGCTTTATGTCTCAATGACAAAACCATTATTATGCATTTCTTAATAACAGCCCACCAGACAATTAATTAAAATAAACCCTTCCTTTATAACACATAATTAAACCTACAGTTTACTGCATGATGGAGAGAGGTAATTTAATTGTTTGGCAAAAAGGTATCAACATTTTTGATTGAGAGAATAACTGTCAAGTGCTCAATTGGTTTCTTAAAGGTTACAAATTAAAGGCACTACATGCATTCATTTTTGTAAATACTTTTTATTATCAAACTGTACTCCTCTAGGCAAAATAACTGACCATTTGAAACTAGGGAATCTCTTCCTCCCCCCAACAGCAATTCACAATGAAAACAAACCCCTACTTGTTAGATTTACTAAAAATACTTGTAACTAAAATGCTCTGATTGGGATATTTCTTCTCTATATTTAAGGCAAACAGGTTATTTAGCATATATGAGGCACGAAGGTGGGAACGGCCATAGTCATAGGAGGATCAGCAGGGAAAAAGCCAAGGCAAAAAAAGTGGATTTTAAGGATAGATTAAAGGAGGAAAGGAAAGATGCTATCCACAGAGAAATGGCTCCAAGCACCAGGATGCATTTTTGCTGCAACAGCTACAAGAAATCAGCCAATATTTAATGGCTCAGCCGAGAGCAGAGTGGGAAAGTCTTTATTTATGTGAATATAAGTAATAAAAAGTAATAGCAAAATTTTTTTTTACGTACATCAGAAGCAGGAAGCCTGCTAAACACCCAGTGGGGTGACTGGACGATCGAGATGCTAAAGAAGCACTCAAGGACGACAAGGCCATTGCGGAGAAACTCAATGAATTCTTTGTATTGGTCTTCACAGTTGAGGATGTGAGAGAGATTCCCAAACCTGAGCAATTCTGTTTAAGTGACAAATCTGAAGAACTGTCCCAGACTGAGGTGTCATTAGAGGAGGTTTTGGAACAAATTGATAAACTAAACAGTAATAAGTCACCAGGACCAGACGGTATTCACCCAAGAGTTCTGAAGGAACTCAAATGTGAAATTGCAGGACTACTATCTGTAATCTGTAACCTATAATTTAAATCAGCTTCTATATCAAATGACTGGAGGATAGCTAATGTGCTGCCAATTTTTAAAAAGGCCTCCAGAGGTGACCCTGGCAATTATAGGCCGGTAAGCCTGACTTCAGTACTGGGCAAACTGGTTGAAACTATAGTAAAGAACAAAATTGTCAGACACATTGATGAACATAATTTGTTGGTAGTCAACATGGTTTTTGTAAAGGGAAATCATGCCTCATCAATCTGCTAGAATTCTTTGAGTGGGTCAACAAGCATGTGGACAAGGGGGATCCAGTGGATATAGTGTATTTAGATTTTCAGAAAGACTTTGACAAGGTCCTTCACCAAAGGCTATTAAGCAAAGTAAGCAGTCATGGGATAAGAGGGAAGGTCCTCTCGTGGATTGGTAACTAGTTAAATGATAGGAAACAAAAGGTAGGAATAAACGGTCAGTTTTCAGAATGGAGAGAGGTAAATAATGGTGTCCCGGAGGGGTCTGTACTGGGTCCAGTCCTAGTCAACATATTCATAAATGTTCTGGAAAAAGGGGTAAACAGTGAGGTGGCAAAATTCCAGAAGATACAGAACTACTCAAGATAGTTAAGTCCCAGGCAGACTTTGAAGAGCTACAAAAGGATCTCTCAAAACTGGGTGACTGGGCAACAAAATGGCAGATGAAATTCAATGTGGATAAATGCAAAGTAATGCACACTGGAAAACATAATCCCAACTATACATATAAAATGATGGGGTCTAAATTAGCTGTTGCTACTCAAGAAAGAGATCTTGGAGCCATTGTGGATAGTTCTCTGAAAACATCCACTCAACGTGCAGCGGCAATCAAAAAAGTGAACAGAATGTTGGGCATCATTAAGAAAGGGATATATAGTAAGACAGAAAATATCATATTGCCTCTATACAAGTCCATGGTATGCCCACATCTTGAATACTGCGTGCAGATGTGGTTGCCCCATCTCAAAAAAGATATATTAGAATTGGAAAAGATTCAGAAAAGGGCAACAAAAATGATTAGGGGTATGGAGTGTCTGCCATATGAGGAGAGATTAATAAGACTGGAACTTTTCAGCTTGGAAAAAAGATGACTAAGGGGGGATATGATAGAGGTCTATAAAATCATGACTGGTTGGAGAAAGTAAATAAGGAAGTGTTATTTACTCTTTCTCATAACACAAGAACTAGGGGTCACCAAATGAAATTAATACACAGCAGGTTTAAAACAAACAAAAGGACATATTTTTTCACACGACGCACAGTCAACCTGTGGAACTCTTTGCCCAGAGGATGTTGTGAAGGCCAAGACTATAACAGGGTTAAAAAAAGAACTAGATAAATTCATGGAGGATAGGTCCATAAATGGCTATTAGCCAGGATGGGCAGGGATGGTGTCCCTAGCCTCTGTTTGCCAGAAGCTGGGAATAGGCAACGGGATGGATCACTTGATGATTACCTGTTCTGTTCATTCCCTCTGGGGCACCTGGCATTAGCCACTGTTGGAAGACAGGATACTGGGCTAGATACTTTGGTCTGACCCAGTATGGCCGTTCTTATAAAAGTAAGCAAACGTAAACATGTTTCTAAAACCTATATATATTTGATTGCCTTCTTATTCACGCTCTATATGTTGCTCGCCTCCTTAGATGGTAGCTCTTTGGGGCAGGAATTATAGCTGCCAATGGGAGCTGCAGAGGGCGGTGCCTGGAGGCAAGGGCAATGCATGTGGAGCCCTCTGCCCCCCTGCCCAAGGACCGCTTCTGAGAGCTGCGCGGGGCCCGCGGCGCCACGGGGGGCAATCCCACGGGCCAGATCCAAAGCTCTGAGGGGCCAGATCCAGCCCGCGGGCCGTAGTTTGCCCACCCCTGTAGTACAACATGAATCCTGTGGCCAGCATTTTCAAAAGAAGATGCCTGCTAAATTAGTTTGGCCTGATGTTCTAAAGGAGCCTACACGCAGGTACCTGTTGGTAAAAATCTTAACAATAATAATTGGGGTGATATGAAAAAAGGCACAAAGAGAAAGATTTTTCAAAGGCAGTTAAGTGCTTAGTTCCCATTGATTTTCAATGGGAGTTAGGCACTCAATTGCCATTTGTGTCTTTGAAAATCTTCCCCATAGTCATTTAGTGGGGGAAATGAATTACATTAAAGGGACAGAATGAGGCAGAGGCAAGGGTACAAGATCATTTAAACAATCTGCTTCTTACATGCAGACATTGAGGGAAATTATATCTCAATATAAATAATTATACATAGAGCTTCACATGGGCTTTTGCAATCCCAGGCACTTTCTGTGTGAATCCAAGAGAGTTTAACGTCCTTGTGGCTCAAATTCATTTTTATGTGTCTGCTATGAGATTATATTTTAAATAATATAATTAAATAGATTCTATTTCCTTTCTTTCCTTCCTCAACCACCTGCTTACTATCCTTCTGTTTTGACATTTCCCCACATAGTATAATAACAGATGCTACATTATTTACTGAACTCAATCAATTATATTACAGAAAAATAAACAACAGTAGCTCATTAGAGCTCTTTTCTTTGTGCAAAGAATACCTAGCTCCCCAAAGTAACCAGTCTCCAAGGCTTCAACATAAAATGACAATATACAATGGATATTCCACACCAGTGAACCAAGTTAGAAAATAATTATGAGCTGGATAACATTAGCAACTCTTGGACCTGAATAAGCAAGCTGAATTTTGTTGATAAAAAAGGATGTTCAGTATGTGAATAGATCAATAGCCAGATTTCAAATATATGGAACTGAACATAAAGCCCCTTATGTAAGCAAACACTGTTACAGAACAACAGACTATAGGTAATCCGTACACTTGAACATGGGCAGTGTTAGTAAACAGCATTGTTAAAATCTCTTTTGTTTGGCTAAGCAAACAGATCCTATTCTTTTCATTACTGCAGTTTGTATTAAAACAAGGAAGCCCAGGTATAGTTTTAATCAGGGACTGGTTTTGCTACTTTTATGTAAGAAAACAGTTTCCAAAAGGCCATTGTATTAGAAAAGGCAGGGTAGTAAGCACAGTGCAGCGGAAGGGAATTATTGTTTCTATGTGTGCACAATTACTTTTAAAGAGAGAAAGAAAACACACTAATTACATGAATTAGAAGATAAGCAAGGCAATTTCTCAACAGTCTGCTACAATACTAGTTTACGTGAGTTCAATTGCTAATAACTTTACAGAATGCAACCTGTTAATTATTCACAACAGAATTCTCACATTCCTATTTTCTGCAATACTCCTCTAGTTTCCCTCTAATGGTCTCTTACCTTAATTCCCATTCTCGACTTTTGGTAGCAACAGGAGGTAAGAGTACAGCAAGTTCTACTGTGCATTGTAGAGAAAAGGTGGAGCATCCCATGCAAAACACTTAATACTGTAGTTCTGACTAAATGAACTACAGTAACTCCTCGCTTAACGTTGTAGTTCTGTTCCTGAAAAATGCGACTTTAAGCAAAACAATGTTAAGCGAATCCGATTTCCCCATAAGAATTAATGTAAAAGGGGGGGGGGTGTTAGGTTCCAGGGAATTTTTTTTCACCAGACCAAAAAGCTATATTATATATATGTATACACACAGTATAAGTTTTAAACAAACAATTTAATACTGTATACAGCAATGATGATTGTGAAGCTTGGTTGAGGTGGTGAAGTTAGAGGGTGGAAGGGGGTGGGATATTTCCCAGGGAATGCCTTGCTGCTAAATGATGAACTAGCATTCGGCTGAGCCCTCAAGGGTTAACACGTTGTTATTGGAGCCTCACACTCTACAGGGCAGCACGAACGGAGGAAGGGGAGACAGCATGGCAGACAAAGACACATCCTGTGTGTGTAAGAGAGAGATGCATTGCCCCTTTAAGTACGCTGAGCACTCTAAGTACATTGCCTTCTTAAGTATATCAGGAAGTTGAGACAGCAGCTGCAGCCAGCAAGCTCCCTCCATCCTGAGCCCTGTCATGTCTCCCCCCTGCTCTGTGGAGATGGGGTAAGCGGGGAGCAGGGGGACACCCTGACATTAACCCCCCCCCCCCCTGCACAGCAAGCAGGAGGCTCCCGGGAGCAGCTCCAAGGCAGAGGGCAGGAGCAGCACATGGCAGTGGGGGGAGGGACAGCTGAACTGCTGGCAATTGCTAGCCTGCTGGGCGGCTGCAGCACAGGGAACTTAGGGGAGCAGGGAGCTGATGGGGGGCTGCCGTTCCACCCTGGTTCCAAGCCCCCACCAGCTAGCTGCAATGGGCTGCTCTTCCTGCAAGCAGTGGACAAAGCAGGCAGCTGCCAAACAACGTTATAAGGGAGCATTGCACAACTTTAAACAAGCATGTTCTCTAATTGATCAGCAACGTAACAATGTTAACCGGGACGACTTTAAGTGAGGAGTTACTGTATTCACAATATAACATGGTTTAAAAGTTCCTGGAAGCACTTAAATATTTCAGGTTCTTGGATGCATTTATCTTGGTCAGAAAGATGTATGCAAGGTGAATTGTTGACACAATTTGCTTGTCAAGTTTGTCTTAGAGAATACAAAATTGTGTTGGTTACCAACTTTATATTTTGCAGTTGTATAAGGCAATTTTTCCATATATCAGAAAAGTACACAGTACTAAAATGTCACCAAATATACATTTAAAAACCTACTTGAGGGCAGAAAACAAACAACAAAAAAAACAACAACAACAAAAGAAAAAAGAAAAGAAAGGAAAGGATGCAATTTAAACAGGATTTCACCAGTTCCACAGACTTTAATCATCTGGAAAATTAAATAAAAACAATACCAGATTTCAAATGTCTGACAAAAGAAGAGAGTCAGATCAAGAAAATTATATCAATGAACAGAAAAAGATGGGAAGGTATCTTGGGTTATACAAATATATAGCATTCGCAAACAAATACACCCCACAAGGATGCAGATATATCAATGCTTATTATTAATAAGGTACTTGTTAATGATGGGTGAAATTCTAGGCCCACTGAAATCAATGGCAAAAAGCCCATTGGCTTCAATGGGGCCAGCACTTCACCCTTTAAATTTGCACATCTATAGCACTTTTAATTTGAAAGTCTCATCCAAGGATCTCAAAGCTCTTTTTAATCATTAACTGACTTAGCTCCATCTCACCCCTGTGAAGAATGGATAAACATAGGGAGCATTTCATCAGCCACGGACACGCAGTTTTCTTTTGGGTACTACATGACAGCTGTTTTAACCACACCCAGCGGTTGATGACATAGCTAGCTGAGCTATGATTCTGTTTATTTCACCAGAACTGCTCTAAGGACTGAGAGTCTTGTGTACAGTTTTTGGGAGGGGGGGGGGGGGGGGGGGGGGGGAGAAGCAGATGTGCACTATCCCTTCTTTTATCACTATGGTATACATTTGCCTGGAGATAAAGAAGAAGAAAAAATTACTGCTATGTGCATAACTTCGTACATGTTACACTAGGACTGTTTTAGCATGCAGGAATTACACTGTACTGGGACAAAACAGATTGGGACAATGGACTATTTGTGAAACCCCATTGAATCCCCATAACAAGCTTTTACTGGGGGACTGGGGAACAGGACACTTGTGGCACAGTCTGACAAACAATTACACTGCTGAGTCTGACCATATGCAGCAGGAAAGTTGGGCATCCTGGATTAGATCCTGCAGAATCTCTGCTAGACACCTGTGCTTTCAAACTCTTCACACTGCAGTTGCATTTGGGGAACAGTAATCTGGTTTATCCATCCACTCAGACTAACGGAATGGAGCACACTTGTATGATGGCTCATATCTCACAAATTAACAAGTTGTTCCCATGAGATGCTTCCTGGAGAGGGGCCAGTTTGGGGCTGTGCTCAGGTACGCATCAATGCCTCTTACAGGGTTGATTTGGCCTCTTTTGTGGCCCTTGTACCTGAATGGGTGTAACAAGGGATTAGCTATTGGTTCAGCAAGAACTAGTGCTGTACTTCATTGACTTGGATTTGTAAACAAAACTGTGGCTTTATGGCATAACACATATATATTTCTCATTAGCAGTGTGCTTTGAGAAACATTCTGAAGAGTTAAATTCACTCATCTTGCTTTGCTCTTTTTACCTCCTAATTTTTCTGATGTTTAACCTCATTAGTTTCCCTTGCAGCCAATATATTTAATCACAATGGAGAGTTTGCATCATTATTGTGACAGGGTTTTTGAATTTTCATTGTTACCTTGGTTTTGAGGGGACAGACTTTGACATTTAAGGTCTCAGTCAGAGTCTAAAGGTTTCTTTTCTTTAAAAGAAGTTTCAGGATAAATTTGATTGGCCATTTAAAAATTATATTATTAGTACAAAGAAAATAATTGGGATTTTTGTGGGCTTTGGGTTAGTTTTATCTTAACATTAAAAAACGGCTTCATTCCCCAAATTAAATTATGCAACCCATTTGTTCATAGTGCTGACTAGCCTCCAAGATATTTGAAAAGAAAATTGAAGAAATCCATCCATAAAATGAAAAGCAACCTGAGATACCCCGTTTTAAAAAATGGAATTTGCAAAGACAATGTTTGGGGCTTCAGACACAGGACTCCTAATTTAAGTAACTCAGAATGTGAATGCTAATCTCATGTTTTATAGTTTAAAAAGTAGGTTCTTTTCCATATAAAATAATAAAATGTAGGTGTATAAAATATTTATTATATGAACCCATGTTAACTGATCACTAGGGCTGAGAGACTGTCACTGTGATTTTTCCTAAAACTCACAGATTAATCATTGTCTTCCTTGCAGCTACTCATAGTTGGCCCTGGGATCCATGAAACCAACTGCCAAAGATCCCTCTAAACTGGGGGAGGGGGGTACTCCAGCCCAATTTGTGGCTATAGAATGATGTCATTTGGTCTGCAGTGGATAGAGCCAAAACTATCATAAGATTTCTCCCAGCTGCATGCAGCTAAACTAGTCCTGCCAGTCAACCAATGGACTGTCTTGGTCTAGCTCAATAGCATGGCCCAGTTCATAACGCAAGGATTGAGAGTACGGCACTCTTGCATTCTAATCCCAGCTCTAATGCGGACACCCTCTGTGGCTTAAACTGCAGCAAGGGAGATTTAAATTGAAGATTAGGAAAAACTTCTTGTGAGGGTAGTTAGGCACTGGGACACATTGTCTAGGGAGGTTGTGGAATCTCCATCACTGGAGCTTTTTAAGAACAGGTTGGACAAACACCCGTCAGGGATAGTCTAGTTATTGCTTAGTCCTGTCTTGAGCACAGGGGACTGGACTAGATGACCTATTGAGGCCCTTCCAGTCCTACGATTCTGATTCTATTGTCAAGTCACTTAACTTCTCAGACTCAGTCAATACCCCTCCTGTGTAAAATGAGGACACTAATATTAATCTCCCTTCCACTAGGGGTGTGATGATGATTTAGTACAGTGATCAAAGTGCTAATAGACCTAAATGCATACAAACCCTCACTTTATCAAAGATGAGGAGTGAGACCTCATGAGGCCCTTGTGAAGTAGGTTATCTATGTAACAAACAAGGAAACTGAGGCAGAGCGCGCTTCAGACTTGCCCAAGGATAGTGGAACAGCAGCAGATAATATGAGACAGAATAGTTAGTGGAAAAGCCATAAAACCATGTTGTACTCAATAGAGTAAAACGATCTATAAATGTTATCCATGTTAGAGTAAAGTAGGTCATAGGTATTGAATGCCCACACAAAAATCTTAGTCAGCTCTGAGTGATGGTTGCCAGGCATCCCACAACACAAACTCTAGAAATTGCCCCAAAAGGCAAAGTGTCCCACCTCACGTTCTTCCTCCTGTTCTTTTCGAATCTGCTCCAAACGAAACTGCTCTGCTTGTTCTCTCTCTTGTGCTTCCCTCTAGTCAAGAGAAAGAAACAATAATCACATTTACATTCAATTGACAGCTAAGCAGGACAGCCCATAGCCCTGTGCAACAAATCGCATTACCCACATAAAGGAAAGGAAACTCCACAAATGTTTCTTTTTCTGCTGGGGTAGGAGTGGTTTGTGCAGACCTGCCAGAGACAAGGGGCAGACTTCAGCTGTCACACCGGGTTCCACAAACAGTAGGGGAAACATTGTGCATTAATACAGCCTCAGACTGGGAGGAGCTTCTGAAAGATTGGGGCTGAAGGGGAGCATGCCACAAAGGTGGTATCCTCCCCTCCTGCTCTTTGGTGGGTGCATGTTCCCCTCTGAATGCAGATGGGGAGAAGAACACAAGCCCCTTAATTCTGGAGCAAGAATAGGAACATAAAGGAACAATAGAATAATACAAAATTTGCAAATAACTACACAAGTTTTTATTCAAAATTGGTATCTTGTCTATAGATCCACTAGTTAGAGATGGAAAAGGCCTCTTAGATCAAGTCATCTCCTTGCAAGGACAGGATAGAGGCTCCTTGACAGAGAGCATATCACATATTAAATTAATCCCGCAGTGGATCCTAGTCATAAGGCCAAAGGGAGCACTGCTACACAGGTCAAACTTTTTGGCCAGTATGTGCATGTGCCATATTTAAATGATATGATAAAGCCATGTGAACCCCCCAGTCCTCAATAATGAAAACAGTCATCTGAACACTGTGTACGTCCTCATCAGTGCACCACATAAAACATGTGCTTAATGAGCAACACATATTCTGAGAATTTCCAAACTTCAGCTACATAAACTACTGTGCTGAGCAGAAGCAACTACCCATGAAGAATTCCTAGTCACACAAGGTGAAACTCACTCTGAGTACTCATGCTCCGTGAGGGGGGAGTGCAGAACAGATGGCAAGGTGACTCCCCCACCAGAACCCAGAGCAGGCCTGCCTCACAGCCCCCATGACCACTATTCCAGTCTCTTGGTTGGAATTGTTACCACAGACCCTACATGTCAGTTGTGTGGGCTACTGGGGCCACTGGAGCTGTGTAAATATAAATCTGTGGCCTCTCTCTTGGCTTGCCCACAATGTGGCTTTGTATGCTGGCCTGTGTGGCTGGTAAGGAGTTTTCCTTGGCGTGTAGGGAAGCAGAGCCCTACATGGGGCTGAAGTTGTGTGGTTCTCCACAGCTGGGTGAATTTCATCCATTGTGAGGACATGCATGTCCTGGTATTCATGAAATTATTTCCCAACTCAGCAGGGGATATTCTTCACTATGCACACACCTTTGCTCTATCAGCTTCTAGTGAAATGCGGTAAGCTTCGTCCTGTTCTCTCTTCACATTCTCTCTGGCCTCACGTTCATCCTAAAATAAAAAAAAAACCCAACAAATTATTAATAGACCAATATTGTGTTTCTTCTATACTCACTAGCACTCTTTAGACCAAATGTTTTAATAGTAATTTGGTTGCATTACTTCTGCTTCTGCTTGCAATAGAGGCCCACAAAAGTGATTCAAGGTAAACTTTAGGTTTTTATATATACACGTGTGTGTGTATATATATATATATATATATGAGTGTGCATGTGTGTGAGAGAGAGCGAGCAAATATGATCTGCCTGATGCAGTGTTTAAATTGGTCCATTATAAATGTATAATTATCTATGTTTAGATAAATTGTAGGTTTGGAAAAGATGTCCTCAGGAAATGAATTTTAAATTTCAGACGCTGGATTTGCTGTTCACTGTCCAATGAAGTTGACATCAGGCACTGGCTAGTCCCACCATTTTAACCTACAAGAGAAGGGTCTGTTCCCAACTCCTTCATCAGGTAAAAATCCCTTTGCTTCAACAGGTTCCACCCAGGCTCGTTATTATTAAATATTAATGTTATGGTATCGCCAAAGGCCCCAACCCCCGTTGCTCTGTACAAACATAGAAAAGAGCCAATTCCTGCCCTGAAGGGCTGTCAATCTAAAGGCACAAACAGACAGTAGGGTGAAGAACTTTGGAAATGAACCTGCCGAAGAACTGGCCCAGCTTGGTTAGTTACATGGATTGTAATTTCATCAATTGGAAGTAGAGAGGTGGAGGAAAGGAGTAGGAAAAGGAGCCCACCCTTCTCCTTCCTTTCTCCATCACCGTGCAAACCACCATCATTCTCCCAGTGACTCAGGCCTGCAACCCTGGGGATCATCTTTGATTCGACCCTCTCACTGGACCCACATATTCAGGCCATTGCTATATCTTACTGCTTTTTCTTACAAAATATCTTTTAAAATCCGGCCTTGGCGCTTTGTCCACACAGCCAAAACTCTCTTCCACAACCTCATCATTTCAAGCCTTGGCTACTGCAACCTTCATGGTATTTTCCATGGTGATACAGAAAAGGGGGATGAGAGGAGATCTTGGGGGGAAAGGTCAAGAGCACAGTTCTGGTCATGCTGAGCTGAAGATAATGATTGGACATTTACAAAGATGTCAGAAAAGACAGGCCAACATACTAGACTGGATGAAAGAAAATAGCTCATCAATAGAGAGGTAGAGAGGTGAGTCATCAGCATAAAGATGGTAGTTAAAACCACGCTTGTGGATAAGAGCACCTAGAGAGAGGGTGTAAAGAGACAAGTGGAGAGGGCACAAAGGACAAACTCTGGAGGGCAACCCATAGAAAGGGGGAGAGGGGAGGAGGATGACCCACCTAATGAGACAGTAAAAGATTGATCAGAGAGATAGAAGAACCATGAGAGGACAGAGTTATAAAAGCCAATTAAGGACAAAATTTCAAGAAGTCGGGAGTGGTCAGTGGTGTCAAAAGTCACCAAGAGGTCAAGTAGGATAAGGATGGAGTCTAGGCCTACAGTTTTGACCAGGAACAGATCATTACAGTGATTTCCCAGGTGAATAGATAATGGACACCAGATTGGAAATAGTCAAGAACAGAACTGGAAGAAAAACACCAGAGAGTAGTTGTAGACATCATGCTCAATGATTCTGGAGGTGAATGGGAGAAGAGAAATTAGGCAATAGTTTGAGGGATTCAGAACTCTTCCTCTTTCAATCCATGGCCCACCACCACCATACTCAGGAGCCCCCACATTCCCGTAACCCAGAAATCATCCCTACTTGTTACTGGGACTGGAAAAGCAGAAACAGAAGCAGCAGGAAACGTATCTCTGTATTCCCTGCACCGTGCCTCCTCTGCTGCCTGCAGCCTAAGCACTACATGGACTCCAAGAGCTGGAGGCTGCAGGGAGCTTGTTCATATACCTCTGTACTCTGCTTCTTTGGGGCCAGCTCAACCAAATCCAGCATTTTCTGCTATGTCCTTCTTTCCTCTACAGTTTACAGAAGCTGGAGCAGCTCCAGCCCCACCAGAAGCTCCCCAGTAGCAGCAGGTAATAGTGCACTCTGCAGTACAACCCTATTTTACAGCTACGACATTACTGGTGGAGCTTAGCCCTATTAACACCTAATGGCCAGTCACCCTAGCTAACAAAACCGACATTTCTGAGCCCTGGTCTGCACTAAGTTTAGGTCGAATTTAGCAGCGTTAGATCGATTTAACCCTGCACCCGTCCACACAACGGAGCCGTTTTTGTCGACTTAAAGGGCTCTTAAAATAGATTTCTGTACTTCTCCCCGATGAGGGGATTAGCGCTCAAATCGACATCACCAGGTCAAATTTGGGGTAGCGTGAATGCAATTAGACGGTATTGGCCTCCGGGAGCTATCCCAGAGTGCTCCATTGTGATCGCTCTGGACTGCGCTCAACTCAGATACACTGGCCAGGTAGACAGGAAAAGCCCCGAAAACTTTTGAATTTCATTTCCTGTTTGACCAGCGTGGCGAGCTGATCAGCACAGGTGACCACGCAGAGCTCATCAGCACAGGTGATCATGCAGTCTCAGAATCGAAAAAGAGCTCCAGCATGGACCAAACGGGAGGTACTGGATCTGATTGCTGTTTCGGGAGACGAATCTGTGCTATCAGAACTCTGTTCCAAAAGACGAAATGCCAAAATATTTGAAAAAAATCTCCAAGAGTATGATGGACAGAGGCTACACCAGGGGCCTGCAGCAGTGCCACATGAAAATTAAGGAGCCCTGCTGTGCTCTTCTAATTGCCCTAGTGTCTGGCTGTGCATAATCAGTGGCCAGGCGATTTGCCTCAACCTCCCACCCCGCCATAAACGTCTCTGCCTTACTCTCACAGAGATTGTGGAGCACACAGCAAGCGGCAATAACAATGGGAATATTGGTTTCGGTGAGGTATAACCGAGTCAGTAAGCTGCGCTAGCGCGCTTTTAAACGTCCAAAGGCACATTCTACCACCATTCTGCACTTGCTCAGCCTATAGTTGAACAGCTCCTTACTACTGTCCAGGGTGCCTGTGTATGGCTTCATGAGCCATGGCATTAAGGGGTAGGCTGGGTCCCCAAGGATAACTATAGGCATCTCAATGTCCCAACAGTTATTTTCTGGTCTGGGAAGTAAGTCCCTTCCTGCAGCTGTTCAAACAGACCAGAGTTCCTGAAGATGCGAGCGTCATGTACCTTTCCCGGCCATCCCACCTTGATGTCGGTGAAACGTCCTTTGTGATCCACCAGTGCTTGCAGCACCGTTGAAAAGTACCCCTTTCGGTTTATGTACTGGCTTCAAGGTTGTCCGGTCCCAAGATAGGGATATGCGTTCCGTCTATCGCCCCACCACAGTTAGGGAACCCCACTGCAGCAAAGCCATCCACTATGACTTGCACATTTCCCAGAGTGACTACCCTTGATAGCAGCAGCTCAGTGATTGTGTTGGCTACTTGGATCACAGCAGCCCCCACAGTGGATTTACCCACTCCAAATTGATTCCCGACTGACTGGTAGCTGTCTGGCATTGCAAGCTTCCAGAGGGCTATTGCCACTCGTTTCTCAACTGTGAGGGCTGCTCTCATCTTGGTATTCTTGCGCTTCAGGGCAGGGGAAAGCAAGTCACAAAGTTCCATCAAAGTGCCCTTACGCATGCGAAAGTTTCGCAGCCACTGGGAATCGTCCCAGACCTGCAACACTATGCGGTCCCACCGGTCTGTGCTTGTTTCCCAGGCCCAGAATCGGCATTCCACGGCATGAACCTGTCCCATTACCACCATGTTGTCAAAATTGCCAGGGCCCGTGCTTTGAGAGAAGTCTGTGTCTATGTCCTCATCACTATCGTGATCGCACTGTCATCACCTCCTCGCCTGCTTTTGTAGGTTCTGGTTCTGGAGTTGCAGCGGAAGCGGTGGATGACGACAGATGCCAAGAGAATAGATATTGATACCGAACGATGAGAGGACCTGTGAGGTGGATTCATGGCACCAGGAGAGCAGAGTTGCAGCAGAAGCGGTGGATGACTGAGCTCATTTACTCTATTGAGCTCAGTCATCATTTACTCAATTGAGACTGAGCTTATTTACAACAGCAGGAGAGCAGAGTTGCAGTGGCAGCGGTGGATGACGATGGTTTGCAGACTTACTGCACTGTCTGCTGCCAGCAGCTTCCAGGACACAACAGCAGCGGTGATGGTGAGCTGAGCAGGCTCCATGCTTGCCGTGGTATGGTGTCTGCACGGAAAAAAGGCGCAAAACGATTGTCTGCCGTTGCTTTCACTGAGGGAAGAGCGACTGATGCCATGTACCCAAAACCACCCGTGACAATGTTTTTGCCCCATCAGGCATTGGGAGCTTAACCCAGAATTCCAATGGGTGGCGGAGACTGCGGGAACTGTGGGATAGCTACCCACAGTGCACCACTCCCCTGAGTCGATGCTAGCCACGGTATTGAGGACGCAGTCCGCCGACCTACTGCGCTTAGTGGGGACATACATGATCGACTGTATAAAATCGCTTTCTAAAGATCGACTTCTATAAATTCGACCTAATTTCCTAGTGTAGACATATCCTGCGGGAGCATTTAAGCAGAAATAATTTGTTCCCTATATTTAATAGAAATGAAAACTCAATGCCTAATAATTTATATATCATATATTTTTAAAGTATATTCTATTAATGTTCCTGTTTATCTACTAGTTTTCCTGTACATAAGGGAACAATTTTGCAAATTGATCATTTTTTCCCTAGGCCTTTCCCTTTCTCAAGAACATTTGGCAACTATTCAGTTTGAAATGCGATTATTGGAGAGGTCTGAATTATAACTGTAATTATTATGTCATGCAAACATGCCAAGAAGTACCTCAAACAAAACTCTAATGTATCAGCAGTTAAAAGAACTCTACATTAGCATACACCAGCAAGAAGACGACACAATTACAAAAAAAAGGTAACCAACCCCCAATTTGAGTGTAACAAAATCATTTTACAGTGAACTATTTTTCTTTA